GTGGAAAGAGAAATATCTTCCCCTACCTAGGATCGAACTCACAGCCTCCCGATTGTGAGGCGAGAGCTCCACTTCTAAGCCACTGTACCACTCAAGGACTGTGACTAGCAAATCGTCTTTTAATGACTCCATAACCCCTTATGGGGTGGAGTCTGGGCAACTGAATGGAGCTGAGTGTTTTACTGGCCGGATGCCCTACCTGTCACCAGTGCGGAGTTATATTCAGCAGATAAATTCTCATCTCATATCTGCCTCTACCTAGGATCGAACCCATAGCCTCCCGATTGTGCGGCGCAAGCTCCACCTCCAGGCCACCGTTGCAAGGAGGAAAATCCCGGTTGCTACTTTGATCTTATTGAATTGTACTTTTTGCATCCAAGGGAGCTGGGAAGGGGCTCATATCAAAGGTTGTGGGAGAGGGCAGAAGTGGGAGGGGGAGCTTTAAGGGGAGACTTACCATCCTCAAAGGGGGTGTACTGGACCCGGTAGGTGCCGTCCCCGTTGTCGGTGATGTAGGTGTCCGTCTTGGCCCCCGAAGGGTTAATGACCCGCACTTGGATGTGGGTGCCCCCCGTTTGGGTGAGAGAGCGAGCATCCACCGTGAAGTCCGTGGTGACCTCACGCAGGACCCCTGGGGAGAGACGGCGAAGGCACGAGCAATGCTGAGCAGCCTGCTTGGATCTGGAGGGGGGGAACCCCCAAATTTACTTTCTTGGTTTGTTACCTTCATTTGCCACCTATCCCGCCGTGGGGCTACCCTATGCATCTTACGACAGGAAACACAGAGGAAACACACAGGCAGTCCCTGACTTAAGACCTTTTGCTCAGTGACCATTCAACAGCACTGAAAAATGTGGCTCGCGACCCTTTTTCACATTTAATGACCGTTGAAGCCTCTCCCCGCGGTCATGTGATCAGAATTCAGAGGCTCGGGCAACTGACTCGTATTTGTGACAGTTGCCGCATCCTGGGGAGGGGGTCAGGCAATCCCCCTTTGGCGACCGTCCGACGAGGAAAGTCAGCGGGGAGTTTTGCCCCACTTTACGACTTGCTGCAGTCGTTAAGGGAATCGCTGTGGTTCTTTAAGCGAGGAGCATGGTAGTTCAGCGAATTCCAGCCTCCCTGTTGACTTCGCTTGTCAGAAGGTCGCAAAAGGGGGAATCCAGTGGACGCCGGGACATTGCAACCGTCGCAAATATGAGTTGGGTTGCTGAGCGTCTGTATTCGGATTGTGTGATCATGGAGATGCTGCAAAGGCCATAAGTATGAAAAAAACGGTCCTAGGCATCTTTTTTTCAGTGCCGTGGTAACTTTGAACATTCGCTAAACGGAACCGCTGTAAATCGAAGACTATTCGACTAAAGATTTCTTGAAAGCTTAAGCGCTCTACAAGAATCTGGCCAACTAACTGTTAAGGGAAATGAGTGGGAGATAAGAAGGCATTCAAAGATAGCCTGGACATAGATCTCTTGTGGGCACACAGAGACTTGTGACTGATGACATATTTGATTCCTCCCTCAGGCTCAGCCCGGTCATCTTCTACACAGAATGGTTGCACTTACATTAGCAACCGGTTCGCTGATGGTGAGCACTCCTTGCGGAGTGAAATGCTACTTCAAGCATGCACCTCTGGTGAGTACAACAGGAGTGGTGCGGAACTCAGTGTCAACTCGTAAAGCATGCTTGCTTCCAAGTTGCCATAAGCAGCAGGGGGAAGGAACCAGAAATACATTCCATGCTTATCTTACAAAGATTGTAGCTAGGCTACCAGATCTTCTGCCCGTGAAAATCCTTCACTGGAGAGCATGATTGATGACATGAAAGTGAACGTGCCTCATTGGAGAATCTGATATATGACACACCCGGGGGGAGAGAGGGGAAACGGGGTCACAAGTGGCCGTGAATTACGTGTATCAGAGTTGGCTTCAACTGGGAGAATGCTGACATGTTGCTCCTAATAAATCTTTTGGGTTCGTTTGAAACTTGGCTCGAGGCTCATGATTTAATTAGGGCAACTGCCGGAAACCCTGACACTCAGCTGGTCAGGATGGGCAGGGCGAATGAGCCAGGAAGTGAGTTATTAATGGAAAGGATAGCGCAGGAGCAGGTGAGCAGGCCCATCCAGCGATCACAACTACCGGTTGACCCAAACTGGTATGATCAGGCCGCAACCCACCCCTGGATGGTTCTTAAATTTTATAATATATTTTCCCCACTTTGGGACTCAGCCATTTGTCCTGTAAAGTAAAATGGCCACCACAATAATCCCGCCACAACCTACCTCGAGGTTCCACGCCAGGCCCAAAAACTTTGACGTTGCTGGTGTCCACGGCAGGATCCACGTTGACCCGGGCCGGGAATTTGGGCACATGGTGCCCGCCGTATTTGATGGTGATGGTGTAAGTGCCCGGGAAGGAAGGAATGTACGTGATGCTATAGGTGCCGTCGCTGTTGTTCTGGATCAGCACCTCGGCTTTGACGCCCGAATCGGAGATGATCTCGATGGTCAGCTCGGCGTCGCCCGCCTTGGAGCAGTCCACGGTGAAGGTGGCCACCTCACCCACCTTGCCACGCTCCAGACCAGGCCCGCTGGCCGTCACCTTGGTCGGGTCGAAGACGGGCTTGATGTCCGCCTTGAAGGGGGAGCCCGGGATGTGAGCGTCGGCGAAGAGGATGTTGATGCTGTATTCGCCGGGCTCAGTGGGCAAGTAGGAGACTGAGCAGGAGCCGTCGCCATTGTCCTGGCACTCGATCTTGGCTTCGCAGGGACCCTCTACGGTCAAGCCCAGCCCGCCTGTCCCGGCTCCTTTGGTGTCAATGGTGAAAGGAGCCGGTTTGCCCACAAAGCCCCCCTTCAGGCCAGGCCCATAGGCACACACCTGGCAGAGAACACGGGGAGGGGGGGAGAGTGGTCAAGTTTACTTGTTTTTCAATTCATTCATTCATTTGTTCATTAATTCATTCATTCATTGTTTGTCTGTTTGAACTAGAACTCCCAGTCTCCTGGTGATTGGCCTAAAGCCACCCAGCTA